TATATATAGCCTCAGTCGTACCAAAATTTTGTCAAATTAAGTATTTTCGAGTCCCAACGTCAGTGGTTGCGCTGTGTATTGACAAAATTTTCGTTTGTAATTCACTTTAAAATGGCTGGTAAGCTTAAAAGTGAGAGTTTTGTGGTGCTGAGAAGAAAAAGACACCCACTTTAGAATTTCTATGTATTATTTTCGTCTTTTCGACTTATGACCTGGTCGTCGGGACGGAACCCCATTGTAAGTCGAGGAGAGACTGTATACACTGTATAGGAAGAGCGTGAATATTGGGCGACACATAATCAAGTCGTTATGTTACTCATGGTCTTGTTTCCGTGTGTTAGTGACTTTTTAAACAAATCTATCCAGAGTATTAATACCATAACTTATTATACTGTATATGTGTGGCCAATATTCTCACTCTTTGTTCTTTTATATCCTTATTACTACTGCATTTCATTTTAAAAATAAGTGAATAACATCGTAATTTTCGTCATTATCTACTACCTCATAAACATTCCTAAAAAATGTCAGCAGATTTGATAGATAAGATTTTTTCCTTTGTAAATCCATGTTGAGTCATAGATTAATTTGTTTTTCTCTAAATGAGATCGGATGCTATTTGCTATATTTGATTCAAGAAATTTCCCCACGACTGAAGTCAAACTGATCGGCCGGCAATTTGACGCTGATTCTGTGTCCCCCTTTTTGAATATGGGTACTACATTTGCCCGTTTCCACAAGTCTGGCACAGCTCTCGCGTCTAATTATTTTTTAAATAAATTTACGCGGGGTCCGCTAATCTGTTCCTTACACTCTTTCAAAACTCGAGGGAAAATTTTATCCGACCCTGGGGATTTTGTCTTGGTACGAGTCGACTCGTTTGGGTACGATTTATCTTGGGTACGAGATAACCCTAACCTGCTATTGTCTACACCTTTACCGTTGAAACTACCCACAGTAACGATAAATTTTGTAAGATTCTCGAGGTAAGAAAAGTTTCATTAAGTTGTCGTTTAACCAAAAGCCATTCCCGGGTATAACCTCACCTCTCTACTACCGGTGGCGGGACATGAATACAGATCTTACCTTCATATTATTTTTTTTCAGGAATTGCAGCACTGCCATAAGTGTATTCCTATCCACAGATACGGTAGCATCCCCCATGGTGTCTGGTTTAACATCGGGAGCGGCCTGTTGGTGGCTGGGAGCTGGCATTACTGTTGCTAAATTTTGTGTTGGCATTGTCTGGACCGCCGTGCCTTGGACCCCCACCGTGTTCATCATGTTCATCATCGTGTGGTCCGTGTGGTTCATCATCGCCTGGTGACCCGTCTGAAGGTCCACCCCAGCCAACCCATTAATGATAGTAGGGTTGGCCTGTGTTAGGCTGGCATAGGTGGGCCCTCCCGCGTCTGACATGTTTACCATCACTCATCACCGGCCACACTACCCGATACTCAATACTAATAATGTCAACATCAATTTTTATAATAAATTAATGAATTTATTCATACTATTTTTTGAACTATAGGTTTCATGATATATAAAAATCGAAGGATTAAATAATTTTTATTCGGGGATATATCCACTAATGTAGTGATATAAGTCATATATATAAAAACATGGCAAGATAATCGATAACCAAATGCGCATGAATGTTTTGTTGTACATATAACAGTTATAGGCAAAACATAGAACTCCTAATATTTAAAAAAAAATATTGAGTAAAATCTGATCTTTACAATCATCCAAAGAAATTTATTTAAAATCTTAATATTTTGAATGCTATGACGTCACGTCCGGGCAGGCGTAGAGTCTTCCCAGCGTCTGTCTTGTGAGGTGAGGACGTGTTGCTCCCTGCTCAATATTTATCTGTCTGCATCTGGCGTATTATTCGTATATCTTGGTTGAATTTAAACTAATCTTTAATCTGTTCCTCTTCCAGGTTAATACTCCGGCAGAATGCGCGCCAAGGTAAGCCAGATTATTGTATTATTTAGATAAAACCTTTACTGTTGGAGTGTCATGTCGTGCACGCTGGGTTATGAGTCCTAGTTCAGCACATACTGTACTTATATTTTGTGAAGTGCAGTGATAGGTGTGTCACTTGATGGAATTTATTTTTTATTTTCACGTCAATTGACAGTTATTAATTACTTTAACTTTAGTAATATGAACGAGCAGTAACTACATTAGTCCGTACTAATATTTTTGTTTATTGATGATGTTAGGGGGCGAGTGGACCATGTGCTCAAGGCTTGTGGGCAGGACAGTCAAGAGAAACTGTTAATACGTTAAGCCGTTCAATTTTCTCTTAACGTTTGTATCGTTAAAAAAAATAGTGAAATAAAACAAAGAAATAGGCCTGTTAACCCCAGCGAGGCAGCATCGGTGTAGAGCCAAGTACTGGGGTCCGACTAATTACCCAAATGTAGCCGCAATGAAGTCAAATAATGGTCCTACATGAATATATCGGACTGCTAATCACATCTCGACTAGTATTTGGTGTCAAAATATTGGAAAACTTACTTTAATCTGAGTTAATAGATCGCATGCATGTACCGAGGGAGCGAGTAATTACCCAAATGTAGCCGCAATGAAGTCAAATGATGGTCGTACAAGCGTAAATCAGGCTGTGAATCACTTCTCGATTATTATTTGGTGTCATAAAGTCAAAAAAATTGGTAAACGTAATTTAATCCGAGTTGTGTTAGGTTAGATTAGGTTAGGTACATGCACTCGATCTATTAACTCAAATTAAATTACGTTTTCCAATTTTTTTTTTTACTTTGTGACACCAAATACTAGTCGAGAAGTGATTGGTAACCCGATTTATTCATGTAGGACCATTATTTGAAAATGGCAGATGAAATTCAATGTCGACAAATGTAAAGTACTCAGTATAGGAGATGTAAACAGGGAAACCAGATACCAGATGAACGATGCCATAGAGAAATCCGACTGCGAGAGAGATTTAGGAGTAATGATAAGTAGGAACCTTAAGCCAAGTAAACAATGTGTTTTTGCTCGTAACAAGGCTAATAAAGTACTTGGGGTTCATACAAAGGAGTGTTAGTTACAAGACTAGCGAGGTCATCCTAAACCTGTATCTTGCTCTTGTGAGACCACACCTGGATTACGCAGTTCAGTTCTGGTCACCGTATTACAGAATGGATATAGAATCCTTGGAAAGAATTCAGAGGAGAATGACAAGACTAATCCCGGGCATTAGGAACCTTGAGTATAGAGACAGGTTAAAGCATCTTAATTTGCACTACCTTGAGAGACGTAGAGCGAGGGGCGACCTGATAGAGGTGTATAAGTGGAAGGCAGGGCTAAACAAAGGGGACATTACGAAGGTACTCAAATTATCCAACCAGGAGTGAACTCGTAACAATGGTTCCTCCATTCTTATGTTCTTATAAGAACATGAGAATGGAGGAAACTGCAGCGGGCCTATTGGCCCATACTGGGCAGTCCCGTTTACACCCAACCCCTATTGCTCATATGAGCATCCAACCTAGGTTTGAAGCAATTCAGCGTATTCGAGTTAATGATGATATTTGGTAACTTGTTCCATTCATCCACTACTGTTTCCAAACCAGTATTTACCTATTTCATGCCGAAATCTAAATTTGTCTAATTTAAAACCATTGTTACGAGTTCGCTCCTGGTTGGATAGTTTGAGTACCTTTGTAATGTCCCCTTTGTTTAGCCCTGCCTTCCACTTATACACCTATCAGGTCGCCCCTCGCTCTACGTCTCTCGAGGGAGTGCAAATTAAGATGCTTTAACCTGTCTTTATACTCAAGGTTCCTAATGCCCGGGATTAGTCTTGTTATTCTCCTGAATTCTTTCCAAGGATTCTATATCCATTCTGTAATACGGTGACCAGAACTGAACTGCGTAATCCAGGTGTGGTCTCACAAGAGCAAGATACAGTTTTAGGATGACCTCGCTAGTCTTGTAACTAACACTCCTTTGCATGAACCCAAGTACTTTATTAGCCTTGTTACGAGCAAAAACACATTGTTTACTTGGCCTAAGGTTCCTACTTATTACTCCTAAATCTCTCTCACAGTCGGATTTCTGTATGGCATCGTTGTTCATCTGGTATCTGGTTTCTCTGTTTACATCTCCTATACCGAGTACTTTACATTTGTCGACGTTGAATTTCATCTGCCATTTTTCAGACCATTTGAAAGTTTTTTTTAGATCTTCCTGTAGTTTTGCCGAGTCCTTGTCAGATTTAATAACACGTCCTATTTTAGTGTCATCAGCAAATTTACTTATGTTGCTGTCTATGCCGATATCTATGTCGTATATGTATATAATAAATAATAATGGTCCAAGTACTGAGCCTTGGGGAACTCCACTTGTGACGTTGCTCCAATGGGACTTGGTGCCGTTAATGCTCACTCGCTGTTTCCTGTCCTGTAACCATTCCCTAATCCATTTAAGGATGTCACCTTTGATGCCATGTGCTTCTGCCTTTCTAATTAGTCTTTCGTGGGGGACTCTGTCGAAGGCTTTGCTAAAGTCGAGATATACCACATCATAATTGTGCCCCTCGTCCACCGATTCGAAAACTGATGAAAAGAATGTTAATAGATTAGTTAGGCAAGAACGTCCGCTTGTGAAGCCATGCTGGGAATCATTGATCAATCGGTGCTTCTCCAGGTGATTTCGAATAGTTTGAAATGATTGCTTACCAGTAATTTGCCTACTATTGATGTTAGACTGATTGGGCGGTAGTTAGAGGATAGTGATCTATCCCCCTTCTTGAAAATCGGTATTACATTTGCTATCCTCCAGGATTCTGGTACTACACCTGTTTTTAAGGACATGTTAAACAACTTTGCTAAGGGCATACTAAGCTCTTCCTTACATTCCTTTAATACTCTGGCAAATATCTCAGCGGGACCAGGTGATTTATTAGGCGACATTTGGGTAATTAGTCGGACCCAGTCAAGTGGCTTGCCTTCTAACAAGACACCCTTGCATCCTGTTGCTTTGGGTGCAGTGGATGAAGGTATAGAAAGAGGAAGAGTTTCCACCTGGATTAACCAATACTGTAGTTAATTCAGACTAAAACTCTCCTACAATAGTAAGACGATAGTTTTTGGTAAATTTTTATTTTGCACTGGTCTTTGTTTGGATATTAAAAATGTTTCTCCGATGATATTTGATGAATTTCGGACGAATGATATTCATTTCCGCCGGAAATACTAGTCTAAACATTACGAAATGCATATTAATAACAGCGAGAGAGACCGGTGCCTAAAGAAAAATTCACCGTTCCTTTACAGGTTTTATACCTGCAGTGTGCATGTCTTTTCCCAATAAATGCAATTTCTAATGAAGTATTACCAGTTATTTATACTTAAGAACATAAGAATGGAGGAAACTGCAGCGGGCCTATTGGCCTATACTGGGCAGTCCCATTGACACCCAACCCCTATTGCTCATATATCCACCCAACCTATGTTTAAAGCTATCCAGCATATTTGAGTTAATGATGATATTTGGTAACTTGTTCCATTCATCCACTACTGTTTCCAAACCAGTGTTTACCTATTTCACGCCGAAATCTAAATTTGTCTAATTTAAAACCATTGTTACGAGTTCGCTCATGGTTGGATAGTTTGAGTACCTTTGTAATGTCCCATTTGTTTAACCCTGACTTCCATTTATACACATATCATGTCGCCCCTCACTCTACGTCTCTCGAGGGAGTGCAAATTAAGATGCTTTAACCTGTCTCTATACTCAAGGTTCCTAATGCCCGGGATTAGTCTTCGTCATTCCCCTCTGAATTCCTTCCAAGGATTCTATATCCAGTCTGTAATACAGTGACCAGAATTGAACTGCGTAATCCAAGTGAGGTCTCACAAGCGCAAGATATAGTCTTAAGATGTTTTCGCTAGTCTTGTAACTAACACTCCTTTGTATGAACCCAAGTACTTTATTAGCCTTGTTTCGAGCAAAACACGTTGCTTACTTGGCTTAAGATTCCTACTTATCATTACTCAGAAATCGCTCTCGCAGTCTGATTTCTCAATAACATCGTTGTTCATCTGGTATCTGGTTTCCCTGTTTACATCTCCTATACCGAGTGCTTTACATTTGTCCACATTAAATTTCATCTGCCATTTTTTCAGACCATTCGAAAATTTTTTTTGTCTTCCTGTAGTTTTGCGGAGTCCTCGTCATATTTAATTCCACGCCCTATTTTAGTGTCATCAGTAAATTTACTTAAGTTGCTGTCTGCGCCGATATCTGTCGTTTATGTATATATAATAAATAATAATGGTCCAGTACCGAGCCTTGGGGAACTCCACTACTGACGTTGCTCCAATCGGATTTAGTACCGTTAATGCTCACTCGCTGTTTTCTGTCCTGTAACCATGCCCTAATCCATTTTAGAATATCTCCACTTTTCTTATTAGCCTTTTGTGGGGGACTCTGTCAAAAGCTTTGCTAAAATCGAGATCTACCACATAATTGTGCCCCTCATCCACCGATTCAAAAACAGATGAAAAGAATGTTAATAGATTAGTTAGACATGAGTGCCCGCTTGTGACGCCATGTTGGGAATCATTGATCAACTTGTGCTTCTCCAGGTGGTTTCAAATAAAGTTTGAAATGATTGCTTCCAGTAATTTGCCTACAATTGATGTCAGACTGATTAGACGGTAGTTAGAGGATAGTGATCTATCTCCCTTCTTGAAAATCGGTATTAAGAACATACGAAGTCTGCAATAGGCTGGTTGGCCTGTGCATGGCAGCTCCTTTCGAGAGTTAATACCACTCTATCATTCATGAATCTATTTAGACTCCTTTTAAAAATTTCCATTCCAGCACTTACTACAAAGTTGCTAAGCTCATTCCACTTGTCCACCACCCTATTTGTGAACCAGTTGCTTCATATCTCCCTCCTAAACCTAAACTTATCCAACCTTTTTTTACGGAATTAGCCCACCGGGCACAGGTCACTGATCCACATTGGGGCATAAATGTAATAATAAAAAAAGTCATAATAATTCATAGTAAATAAAATTTGATAAAACAAAAATAAAATAATGATGATAATACAGTAACTGTAATAATAATAATATTAATAATAAAGAACTATAAATACAAAAATGAAAAAAAAAAGATAAAAAATGAGAAGTGATATATGTATGTTGTGTTGTCAATGGTAAGAGAAACAATTGAGACCCTGCAATTGCGTGTAAATGAAGCAGAAAGTCAGATGAGCAACCTGGGACTTGGTCACAATTTTCGTGATGCCATATGGCAGCAGGGTCTACCATTAGACAACACATTATGCCTCCAATATCTTCCCAGGCGGTTGCTACGAGTCCTATCCTGCTGGGATGTTATAAGAACTTTATCTATATCCCCTTTATTGATTCCTTTCACCCACTTAAATACTTCTATCATATCTCCCCGTACTCTTCGTCTTTCTAGGGAATGCAAGTTTAGTTTCTTTAACCTATCTTGATATGGAAGGCTTTTAAGTCCCGGAATCATTTTCGTCATTCATCGCTGCACCGACTCCAGTGAATTGATATCCATTCTATAATAAGGGCACCAGAACTGAACCGCATAATCGAGGTGCAGCCTGACTAGCGCAAGATATAGTTGCAATAAGACCTCTGCACTCTATTACTTACACTTGTAGATATATAATCTAATACTCAGTTTGCCTTATTTCGAACATTAACGCACTGTTTTCTAGGCCATAGGTCCGGGTTTACAAGTACCCCTAAGTCTCTTTCACGAGTCGACTTCTCAGGTTGATGTTAAGGCTGTATATATTGACAGTATTTGTTCTTCCAATATTAAGTACGCTGCACTTGCTGGTGTTGAATTTCATTTGCCATTTTTCTGACCACTCCTTCAGTTTATTTAAATCCTCCTATAGTGCATTTGCATCCTGTCCCGAATTAATCTGCCACCCTATTTTGGTGTTATCCGCAAACTTGCTTATGTCACTGCTGATCCCAGTATCTAGATGGTTTATGTAGATTATGAACAAGAGTGGGCCTAGTACTGACCCCTGGGGAACCCCACTGGTTACACGGCCCCACTCAGATTTAACACCATCTACGCTGACCTTCTGCGTTCTATCGGTGAGCCCATGATTTTATCCAATTTAAAACTTTCCCCTCGATACCATGAGCCTTAATTTTTTTCAGAAGCCTCTGATGCGGTAATCTGTCAAATGCTTTGCTAAGTCTAAGTAAATAACATCGTAATTTTCGTCGTTATCTACTACCTCGAAGACTTTCCTAAAAAAAAGTCAACAGATTTGTTAAAGGTTTTCTCTTTGTAAACCCATGTTGAGAGTCGTAGATTAATTTGCTTTACTGTAAATGCAATCGGATGCAATTTGCTATAATCGATTCAAGAAATTTCCCCACTACTGACGTCAAACTGACTGATCGGCCGGTAATTTGACACTGATGCCGTCTCCCTTTTTGAATATGGATACGTACTACGTTTGCCTGTTGAACACATCTCTGGCACAACTCCCGTATCTAATGATTTTGTAAACAAATTTACGAGGTGTCCGCTAATCTGTTCCCTACACTCTTTCAAGACTCGAGGGAAGATGTCATCCAGCCCTGGGGATTGTCTTTAATTTATTTATCCTCTTAAGAACATCCTCTTTTCTGATAGTGATATTCTTTAATTTCTCTTCGCTATTCTCCAGGATTCTGGCACTACACATTTTTAAGGACATGTTAAACAACTTTGCTTGGTGCATATTTAGCTCTTCCTTACATTCCTTTAATACTCTGGTAAATATATCATAGGGACCTGGTGACTTATTAGGCTTTAGTTTGTCTATTTGCTTACTAACATAGTTACTAGTCACTACTATCACGCTTAATCTTCAAATTTTCGGTGGTGAAAACTGGAAAAATATTTATTCAGATTATTGCTCATTTCTCCGTCGTTGTTACCTCGGCGGTATCTGACTGTGTTGGTCCAATCTTTTCTTGTTTTTTTTATACATTTGATAGAATCCCTTGGGGATTGACTTTGCCTCCATTGCTACCCTCAGTTCATTATTCCTCTTTGCTTTTCTCGGTCTTAACCCCACTGACCAATACCCAAAGGTGGGCAGTTGCACCACATGTTTTTCCAGAGAGTTGCGGCGCCACTTTTACAAGCATTTTCAAGTGTAACACGCAAAATTTTTTGGCAATAATTGAAAATTGGAATACGACAGCATAAGCAAACGGGCATCCCTAGAGCTGCGCATTACGGAAATAGGCGTTTCTGACGGAATAATTCCGCATGCACATGACACGGGTCGGGCAGCATATCACTGATTTTGGTGACCCAAACTTTGAGATGCTGGTGTTCATGAAGGGAAACGTGGATCTTCTGTAGTTAACTTTAAGCTTTTTTTTTTCTTCTTTTTTTGTAATAAAATATTGATATTAACACTTTTGTATCAATTATATTTTTTTACTTGTACATAGGCAAGTTTTTTATTTTAGTATTTGTTACATTTTTAAAGTTGCGGTTGCACTGCGGTGCAACTTTGAGGAATTTGTTGCTGTTACGGCGCAACTATTTCAGCAGTTAAGTTTACATTGCTAACATAAAAGTTGTGCGTGCCCACCTTTGCCAATGATTTGTGAAGGGGACATGCAGTGTGGGACTCATGGGGGGGGGGTGAGGTAGGCAATAATGGCGGAAGATTAATGGAAGAAAATAGAGAAAGATTTTTGATGTGCTATCGCAATTATTATATGTTTGCGATGGTAATGTAATGGAAGAAAATTCTTATAATTAGACGTCCTTTTCGAATATGATAGTAGATTAGGGGTAGGAATGTTGACTTTAACCCTGACTCATATGTTGGGGGTGTTAGGCTTAATCTCATTTGGGGTCAATACGGTTTCAGTTTGGGAGGAAGCGAACATTTGGCCCGACTGTACATTGTTGATTACTCGAGGGGTTTACTAATCTAAAGATATGCTGTACTGTACATACGGGTTATGATGCTTGCCTGGGTCAGCTACTTTGCCATGCTACAAGAACCCTACCACAATATACAAGATGAGGGTGAACAAAATATTTTATATGAACATAGAATAATAGAAATAATAGTAACTGAATAAACACGGAAATTTTTTCAGGGCATTAATACAGAGACTTCGGTTGTAAAGGCAATATTGCGTTGGTACTTTTATGGAAGTTTGTTTCCCTGCCTGTAGGTGGTGTTGGCTATGCCAAAAACAAGAGGTGCTGTAGGCTATTTTGTTTCTCCTTATTTAAGCACAGTGCAGTACAGTATAAGCATGTTATATTTCTTGATCATCTGGGAAATATTTGACATCTGGGTTTTGTGTTCAGCAGAACTTCCTACCTTAAACTTGACCTTCATCTTATCAGATGCAGGCTGATTTTAATGGTAATTTTAGGGGGAAACGGTATCTTATAGGCTGGGAAATATGGTATTGGAGTACTGCAGAGTATTACGGAAGTAAAAAATGTGGAATGTGAATGGGTACAGTAGTATAAATAAATATTAAAATGTAAAGTGTATATACAAATCAAACACACAATGAGTAATGCTCTGGAACATGGTTGCAGGTTAACTAGGAACCTTTGGAATCATTCCTTGTGGTGTCTCTTACTGTAGATAAGGAAAACCCCAGAAATGTCTACACTGGTGATGCCATAGAGCAACAGGTCAAATATTGCTGCATTAACTGATTGATATATCAGAGACAAGATGAACCGTCCTGACTCGTCTGATGACTTCTCTCTCCAGGAAGGTTGTATCTTTGTTGGCTCATGTGATAGAGGTTCAAGTTGTGTGTAACACTATCTTTTAGCTGGAAACGGTTCTACCTCTGAGGCCGAGCTGGACCAGGCACCCATCTCCAAATCTCGTAGAGTTCAAATTCTGTTTTCTTGATCCGTCTATTCTCGACTCCTTGGAATTAACTCCTCCTTGTTGGGTGCATTCTTGAAAATCAATAGTTGGGACCAAAACTGATCTGCACATTCCAAGTCAGGGTCTCGCTGTCCTTGTTTCTCGGAGCATGTGTCTATGGGTACACCAGAGGTCCTATGTGTATTTCATTGTCTGGCATGTATGATAAATATTTAATTCAACATGACTCATGTGATTGTTTTTAGATGATTAATTATGAATTTTGTTTTGCAGTGGAGGAAGAAGCGTATGCGCAGGCTTAAGAGAAAGCGCAGGAAGATGCGTGCGAGGTCAAAGTAGACTCCTTCCTTTAACCCCCCCAAGGTTTGTTATTGTTGATTCCTTTCATGCATAGTACAGACTCCATATAAACTGGCTTAACTCTCCATATAGTCCATTAGATGGAGGTTTCACGCTTAACGGTCACTCGTTATAACACTTTCTTCATGTTTGTGACATCTATTTTCACTGTAAAGAATTATACATCATTGTTGGTAATACTTTAAATGTAGTTAGTACTTAGTGTATAGATAAGTTTGTTTAAAAGTTCTCCAACAAGTTTTTCTTTTCTTTGCAGATATACCACAACACGGTGATTTATGGCTACCATCGTCTTTAAAGTTTTAATAAATACTGTGAAGGGGTTTGGTGGTTTCTTTACTCTTTTATGTAGTCTGATTAGTAGATATTAAAATGGATCAGATTAAAAGTTAATTTTCTGAGCAATATGTTTCAAGTCTGATGTGCAGCAATACAGGCTCAAAATTTTGGTTCGGTATTCAATGGCTACATAAATTGTAATCCCAATGATGGGTGTAAGCAGGAAACATGCAAGCAAAAAGTAGATCTTGGATACTTGGTGGTTTATAGCATCTCCAGTCCCTGTATGTGGGTGGGGGGGGGGATAGAACTGGGTAAGGCTAAGTTCTTAGAATACTGCTAACATTCTAAATTTCTTTGATTTGCAAGTTCTCAAAGTTGTGTACTAAGACAAAACTTTGACCCGTAATTGTAATCTTTACACATACAGGATGTACACTCCACACATCAAAGATGAAGTACAGTACTGTACCAACAATTCAAGATCAGAGCTGACCAAACTGTAGGCGGCTTAATATGCAAAATAATACTGGTGTACTGTATGCTAAATGTTATACGCTGAAGAGTAGTAACTATAAAAACACATGGTTGAGGTTCTAAGTGAATTTTTATACAGTATCTGATTTGATCTGCAGACAATTATTTGCATGTGACTACTATTTCAAGATTTTGAAAAATGGCTGATAGAAAAAAGTACTGTACCTGTGTTCTAAAGTACACACAATAGGAAAAGTGGGAAAGTTATAGGGAAGAACTATACATTGCTAAAGGTTTTAATTCAGAGTATGGGCTACTTATAAAATGACAAGTTGCATATCAAAGTAGATGGTGTTTTGGAATGTAGATAGTTGTTTAAGTCCTTGCATCTTGTACAGTATACAGTGGTGGCAGTCTTGTTAATCCTGTAGAGTATGATAATAGGTCCTGGTGTGGT